GTCTACTGCTTACCACTCTCTTGTTACAAATAATGAAACTTGTATTTTGATATTATTTTTTTTCAATTACAGAAGATATAAAACAAAGATTAGGTCATCCCTTGACAAAGAAAAAGATAAAAGAACAGAGGAAAAAATACTTTGTGAAAGAACGTTTCTGTTCTGTTCCTGAAGAAAATAACAGCTCAAACACATGCTGAAAATAAATGAACTATTTTTCCTTAAAAACTCCCACCCTGATATTTAGGTAACAAACATGTAAACAACCCTTTTCACTGAGGTTATTTTGATGGCTACAGATATTGTTTTAACAGGTATATTTGTCCATACACATATATATTTATTTATATATTTAGCTAGTTAAATGTATTCTAGTATATTACCCTACTTAATAATTGATGTGTTGACTCCCACAAAGCCACTCTTTCACTCCTCTCTGCAACTGGACAGCGGAGAGTTTATCTCATGAGCTGAGATAAAGACAGGGAGAGATCACTCCCTGAATACTGTCACGGACAAAACAGACTCAACTTGGGGACATTAATTGAATTTATTACTAACAAAATCAGAGCATGATAACGAGAAGTAAAATAAATCTTAAAAACACCTTTCACCCACCCCCCCCTCCTTCCTGGGCTCTACCTCCTCCCTGCAGCAGCAGGGAGACAGGGAGTGGGGGTTACAGTCAGTTCATCACACAATGTTCCTGACACTGCTCAGGGAGAGGAGTCCTTCCCCTTCTCCGGCCTGGGGTCCCTTCCATGGGAGACAGTCCTCCACAAACTTCTCCAGTGTCAGTCCTTCCCATGGGCTAAAGTTCTTCATGAACTGCTCCAGAGTGGGTCCCTTTCCACGGGATGCAGTCCTTCAGGCACAGGCTGCTCCAATGTGGGTCCCCCACAGGGTCATAAGTCTTACCAGCAAACCTGCTCCAGTGTGGGCTCCTCTCTCCATAGGTCTGCAGATCCCTCCAAGATCTGCTCCAGCACATGCTTCCGATGGGGTCACAGCCTTCCTTTGGGCATCCACCTACTCTGGTGTGGATCTCCTCCCCAGGCTGCAGGTGGATCTCTGCACCCCCATGGCTCCCCATGGGCTGCAGGGGCACAGCTGCCTCACCACGTATGCACCACAGGCTGCAGGGGAATCTCTGCTTTGGCACCTGGAGCTCCTCCTTCATCTCCTTCTTCACCAACCTTCGTGTTTGCATAGTTGTTCCTGTCACATATTCCCATTCCTCTCTTCTCTGAGTGCATTTACATCTGGGCAACAACTCTTTTTCTTTCTAAAATGTGTTGTCACTGAGGTGTTACTACCATCTCCGATGGGCTTAGCCTTGGCCAGTGGCAGGCCTGTCTTGGATCCATCTGGCATTGGCTCTGTTGGACATGGGGGAAGCTTCCAGCAGCTTCTCAGAAAAGCTGCCCCTGTAGCCCCCCTGTCACTACCAAAACATGGTCACAAAAACCCTACATAAATAAATGTGTATTTGTATGTATTTGTATATATTTCTATGTTTTCATCCTTTGGACAAATACTTTGGAGAATGCAAGAGAAACGGCTATTTTTATATGAAAAATCCCTTAATCCCTTAGCATTAATATCATAAAACAGAAAACCAGATCTTTTTATCAAGAGGAATACAACACAGTAAACAGTATGCTGATGCCCAAGATGCATGATAATACAATTATACAATAATTATACAGTTATACAATTATTCATCTTACTAAGCTACTCTGCAGCGTGACACTAAAGTGTGTTAAACACTGTGATGAGTGCTCTAGCTGGTTAAAACCTATACTCTTCCTTCCATGTGCTCTTCAGAAAAAGACAAAATAATTTTAATAATTTTTAATAATTTTAATAATTTTTAATAAACTAATAATTTTATAAACTAAGTTGAATCTTGCAAATCTTAACTCTGTAACTGAATGTGACACATAGATCTGATATGGCTGGGGTTGCAAAGAAGGGTATTAAAGACCATCAAAATAACATGAAGACCAGTAAATAACTGCTCAAGCCTATGCCTGAGCAGGAGATTTTAAATGTATGCAGATGATGCTGTTTGTGAGAACCAGAATAGAAACAATGTCACGTCAGAATAGAATCTTCAGCACAGAAGTTTCTGGTACAGGGATGCTCACAAGGGCAATAAATGGCATCTGTGTTTTGCATGTGTGTTAGAAACTCTCTGTCGATTGCACTGTGTTCTTACAGCACCACAAACTACCTGCTGCTTTCCACAGAAAAAACCTCCCTATTTGTCTAATACAGAGTGGATATCAGACATTTTTTCAGTGACCACTAGACTCTTGAACTATCTTGTCAGAGAAGTTGCTACCCTATAAAAGGACCAAAAAAAATTAGAATGAACTGTAAATGAACTATAGAAAAAATCTCATATCTTGGAAGTTTGCAGTACTAAACTGCCTACTATTTAAGCCTCAATATTTTAAAAGCTAAAACAAAAGAATATTTGCTGACTACTAAACGTATTATAAGATGTTCTACCCGTCTTACAGACTTTGTGCCATGTATTTCTGTGTCCAAACCTGTCATATATTTTTCCCTTAAAGTTTTTTTTTAATGCATTTTTCCCCAGCCTGCTCACAGTAATCACCTTCCCAGTGGTCAAATGACATGCTTACCTGTATGTCTTATACTTAAATATGACTTATTTAAATGACATAAGGGTCATTTAGCAGAGCATTACTGCAAATATAACACATAGCCACAGGGTAACATTTTTGTCTAATCATGAGAATTGGATTTCAGTCTTTATTCCATTTCATTGTGTGAATGTAACCTATACACACCACCACTAAATAATTAATACAAAAACCAGTCTGGGCAATATAGTGTGGTTTACTGTGCATTAAAATGCTCACTACTCAGAGTTTGGTGGGGTTTTCTATCTTTATAGCAATCAAGAGTGACCACGCACCTTTTTCTAGGTGTAAGATGAGCGTGACCTTTTGCTTTGGTTAAAAAATAACTTTATTAACTTGGAATTATTTTAAGTACCAAACCTTTTGAACAGATTTTTGGGGGTGCTACAATTTACAAGAACGACTCAAATTGTGAAACTGATTTTGTAAAAACTGGTAAGTGAAGCAGGGAAAGTGAGCTACAAAACATGAGTAGCATGTACTGAGTTCACTGGGAGATGACAGGAGTACCCCTTTCTCTATTAGTATCTGTCATCATGACACTCTTGGTACTGTGTCCTTCCCTCCCTTGTATCTCAGCTGCAGATCTTCCATTCATGAAAATTCTTTTCATCAGTTTGTCTGTGTCAATGTCCCAGTGGACACAACCAACCAGCAGACATTCCAATAAAGCAGCTGTCTGCAAACAGCACTTGTGACCATGACAACAGGCTGTTATTTCTCTGGATATTCCAAGCATGAAAGGTCCTGCGTGCACCCACAGCTTCTGATTGCACAGCAGACAGCTCTACCTGTGAGGACAGCATCAAAAAGCATTCAAGGTGTAACATCTTCCTTCTTTCTTACAACCAAAACCAGGGCCTCTGAGAAAGCTATGGTGTATTTAGCATTTCTGACAACAAGTTGATTTGTACTATGTAGAACCCCAGAAGATAAGGGGCTAATGTGTATGTCTCAGAAATGGATAGCTGAGTGGCTGTGGAGCCAACAAAGGATTGTTGGTAATAACAGACAAGAATTGTTGGTAATAATCAAGGACTGTTGGTAATAACACACCATAAGAAAGAATAAGATGTGGCTGGAAAAGGTGGCCGTGTGGAGTTAGGGCAGCACTTTTCTGGGACAAATCTCGTTGTTCTGGATTCTGCAGATAAGCACAGGACAGCACAGCACAGAGACCAAGAACTGGTCATGGACTGTAGGGTGGGAACAAGATGATATAGGACAGATGAAGCCTCTAACTCATTTCCAGGAAGGTCTGAAATCGGACTGCACATGATAAACTAATTTGGTTAGAAAGTGGGAAACTTATTTCCAGGAGGGCAAAACCTATCTGTGAAAAGGTACCCCCAACAAGGCCAGGAAGCATCCCCAGGACCCTGGACATCCCATCATCTGGGCCAACACTGGAATCAGGTTTTTCTCTTCTTTTCTTTTTTTTCTTTTTCTTTTTCTTTCTTTTTATTTTCTTTTCTCTTTTTTTCTTTTTTCTTTTTTCTTTTTTTCTTTTTTCTTTTTTTCTTTTTTTCTTCTTTTCTTTTTTCTTTTTTTCTTTTTTTCTTCTTTTCTTTTCTCTTTTCTTTTCTTTTCTTTTCTTTTCTTTTTTCTTTTCTTCTTTTCTTTTCTCTTTTCTTTTCTTTTCTTTTCTTTTCTTTTCTTTTCTTTTCTTTTCTTTTCTTTTCTTTTCTTTTCTTTTCTTTTCTTTTTTCTTTTCTTTTCTTTTCTTTTTTTCTTTTCTTTTCTTTTCTTTTCGTCTCTTTTCTTTTCGTCTCTTTTCTCTTGTCTTTCTTCTTTTCCTTTTCCTTCCCTTCCCTCCCCTCCCCTTCCTAAACCTTCCCTTTCCTTCCCAAACCTTCCCTTTTCCTTTTCTTTTCCATGTCGTCTTTTTTCTTCTCTCTCTCTCTCTGTCTCTCTCACTCTCTCTCCCTTTTCACCTTACCCCTTTATCCAAAACCAACTCTAATGTGCTTATACAGTAAGTCAGACACCAACATACCAATTTCCATGCCAAGTGTGTAACGTACTAAAAAAACTTCGAGGTTTTGTGGACCCCCGAACTTTCGTCGTTCCTTCCAACCACAGGCATTTACCAGTCCTAGGTTCATAAAGTAAATTAGCAGCTGTTTCTGTCTAAAGAGGACACGTCTAAGTCCTGTGAGGAGCGGCTGAGGGAGCTGGGGGTGTTCAGCCTGGAGAAGAGGAGGCTCAGGGGGTGCCTTTTCCCTTTCCACAAATACCTGGAAGGCGGTTCCAGTGAGCTGGGTGGGGGCCGGTCGAGTCCATCAGGGGCCGGGGGAGGGGGAGGTTAGTGCCCCCTGCAGGACCGGCAGTGGTACGCTCCGCCGGCGGGGCCGTGTTCCCGCCTTCGGGGGAGCGCGCGGGCTCCTTCAGGTGCCTCTGAGGGCACGGGGGGGTTGTGGGGATCCGGGAAACGATGGGAATGTTTGAAACGCCTCTTACTGAATAGTAACTACACTTAGTTGAGGTATGAATTTAAAAAATAATATCTACTTTAAAATATATATGTAAAAATATATATTAAAATATAGGTTTCCCTGCCATAACGAAGAAAAAAAAAAAAAAAAAAAAAGAGAAGCTTTACATTTCAAAAATGGGATAACCAACTAATTTAAAAAGGATACTGAAAAAGCATGGGTGGCAAGAAGCTAAAGAGAGATTAAAAGAAGGTGTCAATTTTATGGCAGTGAAAACTACAATTTAAATCTTTAGTTTTCCCTCAATGGCATAAATATCATAGTTCAAAACAAAAATGCCTTTGGAAGACATAACATGTGCATAGTAATATGCACAAAAATAACAGTGATGAATATTCCTGCTGGAAAAATACAGCATTAATAATACATTATTTTTAATTTACTGTTTCAATTCAGCAGGAGTTTTGTTCCCAGTGGCACTGTTGCCTAATGCTGCCAAGTGCTGAGCACATCCTGTCTTCTGAGAAAATAAATGATGCCACAGAATAAGGAAACACACAAACTAAAAGCAGGACACAACAGCAGCTCCCTGAACTCCCATCCTCAGTCAATATTAGGAGGGTAGAACACAGATCTAAGAGTATAACAAAAACAAATGCTGACTGACAAATGCAAGATGCTGCCCGTGATAAGGATTGGAAAGATCAGGGCTTGACATTCATAGAGTACATTTAGATTATCAGCTAATAGAATATTAAGATGTGTAATTGTTTTAAAAAATTGAATGTCCTGAATATATATTTCAAACTCTATTTTAACAAATCGTTGCATTGTAGGAAGTTAGAAGTTCATCGATTGCTAACTTCATAAAAAAAAACCCAACAAAACCCAACCCAAACAACAAAATCCCACTAATTTAACTTAGAAGCATTAATTCTTTAATGTTACCTATATTCTGAAAAACTGTCGATTTAAAAAGAAAACTTTACTAGTTTTAGTCTCACTAATTTTAGTCTCACTGAGGAAACAGTGGGTACAAGAAAAAAAACCAGAATATGAAACACACAGAACAAGTATCTTAATGCTTTGGTAAGGAAGTTACATACACATAAAGGCTTGTAAATATTGAAAGACTGAGAAATTAATTCAGTTACGTAATTTTTGTTCCTGTTTAGTGTTGTGCATTTACCTATCCCAGCCTGACTCTGCTGCCAGTATTTTTGTCTGGAAACCCATTCACTTTCTGGATAATGAACACATTCTATCTTCTGTTTCATCTCTCTTATTGTAATTTTTTGTTATTCGTAAAAAGGCTATTCACACATTATCACACCGAAGTGATGATTTTGTTTGGACCATATGGTTTATCTGGTGTTGGAATTTTTGTCTCATGGAGCCTGATGTTCAGAGATAGTTTAAATATTTTTAGAAGCAACCATATTGTGTATTTCTGATCCATCTTGCAAATGTATGTTGAAGATTCTCTACGTAGAATTTATAAAAATAGGAATTGTATATAATAATCTGGAATTATATGGGTGTTTTTCAAAATACCATTTTTTTAATTCTACAATAAGGTTTATGTGCTGCAATGTCTGTCACGGATCTTAACACACATTGTTTATAAGAAAATATGTAAGTTAACCTGAGTAGTTGAGTATTAAAACACCTACACAGGTAAAAGGTCTCGATGTATGTGCCTAGTGCATCATTATGTCTATGAAAGTGTATTCACGTTAATTTTTTGGTGGCAGCAAAAATTCCAAATTCAACTATGTCATCTAACAGTTTGATGAATTTTTACTTGGGCTTTCTGACATTCGTTGTACTTCCTGGAAATGCAAGATCTTAGGTTGGCTGAAGTTTAGCTTCACATGCAAAAGTAGTTTTAACTTTAAAAAAGGAGTGTACTTTGTTCTGCTTATAATTGTGCTTAAGAATTTATATAGTTTGAATGAGAAATATATGAATTCCTACAGATATTTTTTTATATATATTAATCATTAGATTATATGTTTCAGAAAAAAATGAATCACAGTGATGAAGAAACTATGAAAAAGAACAGTGTGGTGAACCTTGATAAACTTTTAGATGACTTCTCAGAGATAGAAAAGGTAAGTGAGGAAGGTAAAAAATGTTGAAACTGCTATCTATAATTATTTTGTGGCATTTTTGAGAGCTTTTCAAGTGAAAATTCCTTTTAAGTATTATCAGCTTATTGTTATGCCTTATAATACCAATTATATCTTGGTGTCATAGAAGTGAATTCTGTAAAGCCACTTTGAGAGGAAAACAGTTTATAACTAATTATGTAAGTCAGCACTCTTAGTTCTGCAGGTAAACTTGCAATAGCACAGGCTCTCAAGTCTAGCATTGTTCTTCTCTATAAAGGAATTTCCCGAATTGTGAGAAATAATACAGGTCTGTGACTGCAGTGTTGTGAAATTCCTAAATTAATTTAAAACTCAAGATTTAAAACTTAAAACATATTAATATAATGTTAGTATTTTTCCAATTTTCTAGAAAATATCAGAAATTAACGAAGCAAATAACCTACTGATTCATCAGCTGGAAAAATGTAACAGGTTGCTAACATTAAGCCAATCAAAGGAGGAATCAGTAAAAGAAGGTAAGTTATTTTTTTATTAAGGTATGATTTTTGCATATATTCAGGAAGTTCTGTGAGATATTTCCACTATTTTCTGTCATATAAAATAAAAAATAAAATAGCAAGGATCTAAGATACTGTGTGAAAGGCAGCAATAACTAATCTGAGGTCACGTAATTAAATCCCTCTCACAGTAACAGTTTGCATTAATATTATAAGAATTCAAACTGTTCAATGAAAAGTAATAAAATGGTATTTACCATTTAAAGGTGGAAATTATAAATCTGTAAGTGTAATTAAAATGTTGCCAAATAAAGGAGGAACTAAAGAGAAAACTATAAAATTAAGATTTTTGGTTTTATTCTAGAACTGTATGTTTTCAGATGAGTATTTGAAATAAGAGATAATATCTAGTACTTAGCATAGATTTGTGGTTGTTTATTTTTTTGTAGCTGGTAGAGTTGCTGAAAGGTGCACCTTTTTGTAGGACTTTCATCTCTGGGACGTCAACTTGCTAAAACTTAGGAAACAGGATAGGAATAAACTTAGTTTCATGCCAGAATGAGATTGCCAGTTGGTTTCACTTAAATCTTCACTGGGACTTTGATAATTTAGCATAATCAGAAACTGAGTATTGAAATTGAGAAATTAAGCTATTGAGTAAGAGAGTGAAGTTTGCTAATCATGATAATCTATTCAGATATACCAAAAAACTCATGATACGGGATGACAGGTGATACAAAGGGGAGGTGAAAACCAGTAGCACTTCATATGGGAGGCATTTTATATAAATAGTGGTTGGACTTAGGTGGCAGCTTCTCAGGAAAGAGACCTTGATGTCCTCTGAACAGTTCTCTTAAAATATCAGTGCTAAAAGAAGCAAACATCGTGATAACCATGATTATGGAAGAAAAAGAGAAACAAGCATCATGCCCCTGTAAGGTCTGTGATTTTCATGTAGCTTTCTGGTCCACACATATGAAAACAAACATACCAGAACAAGAAGAGGTAACAGAGAAGGTGGTAAGGTTTTCTGTTGTGAGGGAGGAGGACTCAGGGAATCAGGAACCAATCATGTAACAAGGACCATGGATGTAGGCTCTTAACCAAACATCCACTGTACCCATGCAGGGCTGGCCCAGCAAGGACTGCCATGGTCAGACAAAAGTGCACATTACCAAACAAGTATGTAGTGATGGGAGTGACTCAGGAGGCTGAGTCAGAATGGAGCTCACAAATGGTAAAAAAAGGCCAGATATGGCCTAGGGATCACCACCAGGTCTCCAGTGATGAGGCAGGTCTGATATCAAGCCAGAAAGTCACTCCCTAGATCATGGCCAGAGTCTAGCATGTGGCTGCAACACAGCTGCACCATAGGCCCAGGGCAAAAGCCTCAGCTTAAAAGCAGCTCCCAAGGGAAGGAGGGGCAGCCATTTCTGAATCAACTTCCAGCAAGGTCACCAGCTATACTTTTTTTAAGACGGCCTTGTGCGCAGCCAAGAACCTAGAAGGTTCGTTCACAACTTTGGAACAGCTGAAGGAAGACTTAAGTTGACTGGAAACTTTTTAGCCTGAAGAGAAAGAATAGAGCTGATACGACTCATAGCTGCAACATTGTGAATGGCACAGAGAAAGTGACTACAGGATGAATATTCATTGTCCAATGTAATAAGAAAACTAGATGGAAATAAAACTTGATTGATTTAAAGCCTACAGCAGGAGGAACTTTTCCATACATTACAAAATGAAGTTAAATCAATTCCACAAAAACCTGTGGATAAAGGAATTATAGAATAGTCCAATAAGATTAGAAAAAAATAATGGAAAAAAACTTAAAAAAATTTGACAAACATGAAGACAGTATCTCTCACTGAGGTCTCCCTTACTTCTGTGTTTTGGAAGTTGAGAGGATGTATCAAGTGTAGTGTTTATCCAGCTTTTTTTTCTCTTTCCTGAAGTATTTTGTACTGGGTATTGTGAAGTGGAATAGTGAACTGGATGAACTTTGGTTTGAGTCAGAGACACTTGTTTCTTTATTAAGCAGAAAAGACAGTGCAGGACAGTCACTCAGAAACAGAACAAGAGGCTTCATTATTGATGAAACCAGAGAAGAGTGGGTTTATATAAAATAGATTGTAAAAGGGGAAAGGAAGAGGTGGCCAAAAAGAAGAAATTGTTCTTTCTGTAAAACCTATGGAATAAAAAGTAGCAGAGAAAGTGAAAGAGACAACTTGGGAAATCAGAGCAGCTGGGTTGACTGCAACAAGGAAGTAGGATGTACTGAAAACAGATAAAAGTCAGAAGAGAGATTTGAGCTTTGTAAACAGCAGTGCCTCACTTTGATGAGACAAGAGAGAAATTGTTTTATGAGATAGTTATGCTGATACAACTGAAGAGAACAGCCTGTGGAGCTTCTTTTGAAACACACCATGGAAAAAAAATTGTGAGTGGCAGAAGTCCAAGTAAAAATAGCAGAGCAATCAGCCTGAAATATGAACCAGTTTTAGCAGGAGGGATAGTCAGGAAAAAACAAATTTCAATAATACTGTAGTCATGGAAGTTATATGGATATAGACAGGAGGCAGAATTTTTGGAAGACAAGGATTCTGATCAGTGAGTAAGAGACATTGCAAAGATATTAGTAGCAGTATCAAAAAAAAAACAAGTGAGAAGTACAAACTTGGAACAATGTGGGATATCCAGGAGGTGATTCTGAAAGTTACTTGATGGTGAGGAAGTAAAATACAATAAAGATATCAAAGGGGTAGAATGTATTTAGCAATTAAAACAGTTATCATGATTGTTCTATTAGGTTAAGCTCAGAGAGGTTGTGGAGTCTCTCTCAGTGGAGATATTCAGGAATTGTCCAGACACAATCCTGTGCCATGTGCTCTGAGATGACCTTGCTTGAGCACAGAGGTTGGACCAGATGACTCACTGTGGTCCTTTTCAACCTGACACATTCTGTGATTCTGTGCTTTGCACCCTTATTAAATTCACCTGCCATGTTGACCCTTCAAAAGGGGTGATGGCATATGTTGTATTCAGAATCAGAGTACTAGAAGTTTCACATCTCAAGTTAAATTGTTCATAAAAAACTTTTGGAAGGTCAAAACACTGTGGGTTAAAAAAAAAAACCTCTTTAATATTGATGAGGTTATAGAGGGATCCTGTGCAGAACTAGAGAAGATGCAAGAGACCAAATACAGCATTGATACTTTCATTCTTGCTCTGGCAACAGTTATCCTAATAGACTGTAGTAGTGAGAATGGCGTTTATACAGTGACATTGCCAGTTGTGGCTTGGAAAAAGGATTTCTCCTAGCCTTATGTCCCAAACTGTTTTCCAGAACCAATTCAGCCAGTTCCTGAAAGTTTCTTTTAAAGAGTTGGCCCAAAGGCAACAGAAATTTCTTACAGCAGAGGAGCAGAAAGAAAGAGTGCTGTGGAAGGAAAGACTGTGGTTCCACCTATCCTGAAGGGTTTGTGGCTACTAGTGGTAGTGGGGTGGAGGAGGTGGAATTTTATCCTGGCTTGAAGAACTCTGTTAGTATGTGAAACAGAAAAATAGTAGCATTTCATATCCCAAGAAATCTCCAACGAGTGAGAACCTGAGAGCTCCTTGATATCCTTGAGTGCAAAAAGTCTCTCTGTAGAACCATTTAAGGTAAAAGAAGACTGGGAATTCTGAAGGAAAAGCAAAGGAAAAAAGAAAACTTCTAAAACTCTAGAGAGAAGGCAGTGAAACACTTATACCCAAGATAAAGTGGGGAAAGATAAGCAGCTTGGCAAGTACACGTTCTGAAAAGTCGTAAATTAACTTTATTTTCCCTTCATATGTTCTTTGCCACACCAAGTTGAGATTCAGAATGGCAGTTTTTGTTTTATGTAAATCATTGCAGATCCACTGAAGGCAGATGCAAGTCTGGCATCCTTGTTCTCTGCTCCTAAACCTTCACTATGGTGACTAAATTGACTCTTGTGGCACTACAGTTCTGAACTATGTTCTACTGTAATTTTTTAAAAGGAAGCAATCACATTATTATCTATGAAACACCTAAGGTGGCTCTATTTAGCACCTTCAGAGTTGTCTATTTGTTTACTTAGTGTTTCTAAGGTGTTAAAGAAAAAAGTGGTTGATGTAATTGCCCTGTAAAAAATCAGTTAGAAGTGCAGATGGATGAAACTGCAATAAAGTAGTCATTAAGCAGGGAAAATGAGCATTAGGCTGTGTGATCTTTATGCACGTAGGGAATAGTCCTTACAGGGAAGAAACTACACAGAATCCGTAACAGATATGCCAGAGATCACAAAGCTGCAATCACTTAGCAAAATTTTGCTTTTTCTCTATAATGTAGACAAGCAAAACTTGTGGGTTCCCAGTAATTTCTTCCAGTCACAACTGTAATTACTTGTGGGGCCTGCCAAGATATGTCCTTTAAAGATAAGAAAGATATTCTTGTGAGCAGATATTCTTGGGACTGAACAGAAGAGTGGCTTGCACTCAAATAGTTTTTATTCTTTTGAAGACTAGATATTGCTCTAGTGTCTTTCCATTTTTGCATGAATTACAAGCATTTGAATCTGTTTCCATACATTTTCAAACGGGAGGAAGTTTGTAGTAGAACTAGTTGGTACAAATGGGCATGCTAACCTAGTGCTTCCGACTTGGAACAGGATTTTTCCACAAATGGTTTTGATCCAATACACGAAGTGAGAGCTGGCGGTTTCTGTGCTGCTCGTGCTCCCTCTACTGGTTTTTTTTGGAAGCATGTAACAGGAGAAGACATCTGGCTGAAGTATTCGGCTGCACGAAAAGCAGACTTGATGGAAGAACAGGCTAGCAGTCAAAAAGATTGAGTGGAAAACTGAATCTCTTAGCTGAGATCTTAGTTCGTCTTCCTGGCTCCATTATTTGTAACGTGGTCTTTAATTATATGACACACAGTTTTCAACGGAGCTGCAGCCTGATAAGACGTGTAACTGTTATTTATCCTACTTTTATCCGTTATGGAAGTTAAAACCCACTTAGGAAATGCAGCAGCACTCTGGAAATAGAGAATTTTAAAGAGTAAACAAATTCAGTTTTAGTGTCTCCACTTTTCCCAGTTTTTGACTGTTTTGCGACTTTACTGGTAAGTTTACAAGGAACATGTAAGGGATAGAAGTAGTATTTAATGGAACCAAATGGTAAATTACAGGAAGTACACACGCTGTTCAGCTATCTAAAATACAGCTTAAAAAATAAAATCACGAAACACAAATATGCAAGCTGATAACAGGTTGCATGTGTATAGATATAAATGCACGTAACTATTTTGTATTAATTGAGATAACAGGGATATAGTAGCATATCCTGAATCACTCAAAGTTTATGTTAAGCCATAAGATGAATGTTAATATACACTAAAAAGTGGGTGAGAGACTGCAATGAGTGAATATAGTTGATCTTCTTAAAAAAAAAAACTTGGCAAAAATGCTGTCAGGAAAGTAAGCCACAGTTTCATTAAATACACAAATTGCTGGAGGACTGATATGGAAAACTTTTATTATTGATCAGAAAACAATAAGATCCTTGTTTTCTGGCTAGAAACAAAAATTTAATAGTTTTATGAAATTGTTTGTATAGCTTCATAAAATTGATGTTAATCTATCATCAAACTAAAAACTAAAATTAAGCAGTAACAATGTAATAATAATCTGTGTTATTTCAACAGTCAGTAAGAACACTTAGAATAATGTTTAATCAAAATTATTATCAAATATTTGACAGGAGTTTATAAACAAAGCGTAAACTTCCTTGTGAAGAAATTATTCAAAAAAATCTGCATTTTTTATTTCTTTTAGAATGCACTACTCTACAGAATGTGATAAGTGGTCTAACACAAACCATTGAAAACCAGTGTAATGTCAAAGGTAAAGGCAAATATGTTCTTATATATGCTGTACTGTAATTTCAAATGAGCAGGCATTTAATGTTTTTGTTTATATTTACTGGTTTTTCAAGACAGAGAAACTCACTGCCAGAAAACCAGAAAGTAAAAAAATATATCTCAGATCAATCTTGTGCAGTAATAAATGTCTATTGCTATTATTCTACTTAGAATCCACATGTAAAAAAGTTCTGCTTCAGTGAGGTTATTTTAATCAATACTTGGGCTTTAAATTTATTTCAGTATAGCACAGGCAATTTTACAAGAGGTTAGAAAGCATCATTCAGCCTTTTGTCTGTAGACTATTAAAGCATTTATGAATAGTTTTTATCACTATGTTAAACCAAAGAGTATTAATCCATAGTATAATGTTCTTCAAGTTTTGCCGTTATCCATAAATACTTGAAAATTACTAATTTTTATTTAAAAATAAAATACATAAATATTTGCTATATCTTTATACTACTGTTCCGCTGTAGTTAACTTTATAACAATTATGTGTTCAAAGCATATTAGCATAGATATTAATAAACCTCTAAAACTGGAAGTATATTGCTGCTTTTAATACTCAAACTGATACTAATTTTTAAAAAAGCATCTATTTTTCCTAAATTCTGTTTTTGAGATACTGCTTTCTAATTTTTAGGAAACAAGTACTTAAGGACTTGCATCTTCCAGTTTGAAACTGTTGTAGCCATGATAAAAATCTTTTATTTTCTGAGTCAAAGAATTTTGCATTTAGATTTTCTTGAATGCATCATTTACCAGGAGGCTAAAGACATTTCCAAGAAGTAGTACCAGGCAAATATTATTATTAAACTATGATTGTTAAAAAATGTAGAATGAGAGCATATAATTCTGTAAATGATGATTATAGTGCGTATAAAAAAGTTTCTTAAAGTTCACCCAAGTCAAAAAATGAAAGTAATTTCCTTATTCTGCTTTTGTGCTAATGATATTGTCAAAATGTATTTTTTAGTATGTTATCTAGTTTTTTATTTATGTAGATGAAAATGATAGACTGAAGGATACCATTCACACCTTGGAAGATAAATTAAAGGCTTCTGAAGAGGTAAGTCACAAATGTTTATTCTTTAGGTAGAGGAATGATATTTTATCTCTGTTGTAGCAGTTCATATATCTTTATATTCTTAGGTTTGCTGTTGACACCTTTATTGTTGCTCTTCTCAATGTTTATCATGTGTAAAAAGAGAAGGGTTGGTCTCATGACAGCACCCATGTGAGAAGGTGTTAAAAGAACTGAGAGATTAAAACCATATAGGTGCTGAGAACTCTGTCTCAGTCTAAGATGCATTTGGGTTTTTTAACTCTATGTAGCTTTAAATTCAGCTTTAAATTCTAATCTGTTGTATTAAAATAATTTTTTGTGTGGAAATAAGGTTTTTCTATTCAAGATACTTGGTTGTGCTGCCAGAGAATCAAGAATGGTCTGAATTTTGTCTAGTTTCTTTGGAAATAAATACTACAAAGATAATAGGTCTCTACCTCTTATCTCTGTCTCATAATAAATTCCATTTATGATCTCTCTACTTTCTATCTATGGCACTCATTTTTGCAAAGGAGGTAAAAACAGCAGGGCTAATCATAAGTTGTGTTAGTTCTCTGTGCACAAAATGCAGATCTGTTACTTGTATAGGATTAGGAATCTCACTGCTGATTTACTTCGCCTGTGTTTGTACTATGAGTTAAAATTAAATATTTATACCAATATTTATACAATTTGCGTGCTCAGACTCTGAATATCAGTGCCACCAGCATCGCTACTGCTGGTATTTCTACTGCTGCCAGTATGAAGTTGTGAAATCCTTGGTATAAGCAATACTAACAAAATTCATACTTAAAATACAACTTTTTAATGAAATCTTAGAGTCAAAGATCCACAAAAGTAAAACTGTACCGCCTGAACTAACTGCACTGTGTCAGATCCCGGAGTGGGGAAAGGAATATTAACTCTCCATTTACCTGTTCTCTTAAGAAGTACAATTTCTAATTTTATGTTAGCTAACAGCTGCAACACAACGAAATCTGCTACATTTTTCATCTGTGGACTTCAGTCAGACTGTGTAAGAAGTAATTTGGCATGTTGAATTTACGAGACTGAGGATCAAACAAGTACTGAATTGTAGAGCATATATTATAGAGCATATAATTTTTGCCTAATTGTTGTGCTTTGCAGAATCTGCAGAGTTTTTATAAAACATTTTACGTTCACAGGAATATAAAGATCAGATTGAGAAACTCATGACAGAAATTAAAAACAAAGAGGACGACCATAAATTAGAAATAACACAGTTGAATTGCGATATAAGGAAAAAATGTAAGTTCTCTGAAGACTGAATGCTATTGGATGGGGTAAAACATGTATAACCTGTAGGAGCTACATTTCCTCTAAAAGTTCCACTTTTTAGGGGAAACATATGAACACTAGAAGTGGACGGCGTTTATCTGAATTTTATCTTTGCTAAAGAGTAGACAGTGACAATAAGGCAATAGTACAGCAACACAGGATGAGCAGAAATTCCCAAACAGTTAGAACAAATGCTGGGAACTTGGACCTAAAAATCTGAAGGACTGAAATCCTGGGTAAAGTGTAGACTGGAAACTTGCTTTGAACTGTAAGCTAGACTGCTGTTAGAGTGTTCTATCTGTGTTCAGGAGAGTAGGACATTATTTTAACAAATAAATAATATTGCAATGAGAAAAAGCTTATTTCAATATTAATTTTTTCCATTAGAGGCATAACCTTGAAGAGTAGGATTTTTGGTCATCCACATAGCTGAAAACAACTAGAAAAGTTTTTGTAAAATATGATGATTTTTTTAAAGAGACACCATCTTACTGGGATGGGACAGAGTGGTTTTCAATCAGTTTGATATGGTTTTTACTTGAATGAAGATGTTTTCCAATGAAACGCTCACCTGATATTCAAGAAAGTTTTAATATTTAGGAAATTATGTTATTTTTCCATCAAAGAATCTTCGATAATCATAATATCTGGTGTTACTTTGTTGGTAGTTGAAGTAAAAGAAATGGAGTATAGAGAAGAGAGAGAGAAAAAAGAACTGGAAATACTAGAGCTAACGAGACAGCTGAAAATTCAAAATGAAGAGAAGCAAAATGAAATAATTAAACTGCAGATAGAGGTATGGATTACAAGGCTGACTTAAAGATGAATTGGGCATTGGGTAAACTTCGAAGAGACTCTAGTGAAAAACATTAATTAGTACTTAACAACATAATATGATGGAATCTAGAAAACTTAAAAAATTATTGTCTTTACAAAGATCAGTGGCATAAGCTCCCTTCCTCAATGGAATCTGACTCACTTCTGCTCAGGAATCAAGTTCTACCTACTGTATAGGGAGACTGAAGTTTGCTCTGTTCTTGTTTTAAATTAAACTACTTTGAAACTTTTCTAGGCTTTTGAGGCATAAAAAAAATTAAACAGCATTTTCTGCTTAAATTTCTTGTTTTAAATTTCTAAATGATGGGAATATGTATTACCATTTACTTTCGTAATAAAATTCCAATTAAAAATTAGAATCCTGCAGAGATTTAAGTCAAAGTATTCAACATGTATTTAATTGCTCAGGTTTTAAACCACTCTCGTTACAGAAATAATTAAGGAAATACTTCAAATCTTTCACATATCAAAAAAAGAAATAAAGTGTGGAAGTGTTCATGCTGAGTTACTCTTGGAACATGAGGGAAGGATGACGGTTTCAGAGGTCTTTAGCATCCTCTGCATTTTCCCCTCCTGTAGACATGTGGCTCAGGAGCCTTCAATTTATTTTTTTTTTTCAGTAATGTTTTTTACATCTACGTCTTTTTGATCATATTTGTACTACATACCTTTTGAAATATTTTAAGGCTTTTTTAAAAAAGAAACATAACTTGTAATGGCGTTCTTTCTTTTAAATAAACCTACATAGCTACATTTGCCTAGGATTAATTAGTAGATAAACCTGTTATTACTAGTCTCAGGTAAAAAATGCAACTAAAAAAAAAGTGAAAACTATATTTGAATTATTTACTCTACCTTTTTTTCCTGATGGTTCTTATTGTTTTATCTTTGCCTGATTCTTTCAGTTCAATGCTAAATTAGCAAGAGCTCAGGATAAAACCACCAAGTCATTTTCAGATGCTTCTGTCTTGCCACAAAGTATCTATCGAAGGGTATGTGTTTAATAGTCCATGTTACAGCCTGTTTGAAACAGGACTTCCCTGGGTTTTGTCTGTGTCTGTGTGTTCTCTCCCACATATCCCTCCCACACCTAGACAACTGAATTCATGGAGTCATAGAATAATTTAACGTAGGACAGACTTTTAAGATCACCAAGTCCAGCTGTCATGTCTTTTTGCATATTGATACCTTTGGGGTTCAACAACAAAAGACCACATGTGAGGTGGTTTTCTAACCACCAGAATGACTAACCTGGAAACTTAAGATAGATGACATAAATGACACTGATATAAACTGTGTATGGGCATTATTTTTTTTGTAGGCTTGAGATTTTGGGATGTCACAAAAATAGGATTCTGAGGAAGTAATCTTGGTCATTTTGTGATACAAACTAATGAGGAAAAATATTCTAATTAGAAAATCTCTCATTTGCAATAGCAAATTGTATTGTTATATAATTCTGTGTGATGTTTAACAATGAAGCCTTTCTTGCATTTTTACAGAAGCTGCAGCATCTCCAGGAGGAGAAAAACAAGGAAATTGAATTTCTCCGAAACACCATAAGAGACTTAGAACAACGTCTTCATAAAGGCCCAGACTTGCACTTAAAACGGAAGCGATTTTGAGTAAATGACATGAAGTATTTCAGTAGTGCATACAATGCAAAATACAGATAGTGTATTTCAAACTGTGTATCTCAAAGTCAAAACAATATGTGAAGATAGTATTTTTTTATTGAAAACACTCTTGTCAAATATTCCAAAGGCATGCACTCTGTGTATATGCAGGGCTACACTCTTGCTAATCAGCATTCACAATAAAAAGACTCAGGTTTTGTAGGAGTAATAATTTCCCTATCAAACCATCATTAATTATGGTGTATGCTTTCATAGCAGTTTTCCTTTCATAAATATTTTCTTCATCCAGAAATCCTTCAAACAACTGGTTTTACTTCCATTCAGTTAATCCAACATTAGAAATGCTAAGCTACAGACAGAGAAATTATACAAGTTTCAGTGGTATGTTATCTTACTAATTGATACAGATTTATCAAATTCAGCACAGTTATAAACAAAGATAAACATTATACTAAGATTAAACTCATTTTATCCCTCCCTCTTATTGATTCTGACACTGATTCTGCATGAAGAGCTGTTAACACTGCTTCTCTCTTTAGGCATGATCTTACTGATTTAGTAGGATTATGTATTAATGGACCCTTTTATTGTATCTAAGCCAAAAAAGTTAAGCATATAAATCTGTTACTTTAAAATAATTCAGTTACTGTTTGTATATTACATTTTCAACAAAAAGTTATTTTGTCACATTGCTTAGGAGTAAGTTTTTTGTGTACATAGTTTGTATCCCCAGGTTAGGAAAAAAACTAACTGAACTTTTGAATAAAAAGTGATTAAACTATCTGTCTTGGTTATCTTCTGTTCTTTATTGCAAAACATCAGACAGGAGCCCCTAGGTCATAGTTTATGCTCCTGTCCTCAAAAATGCAAGCAGAATGTTAGAAGAAAAGCAAGAAAGACAGATTAATCAAGAATGCAGACACCTTCCCAGTGCACCCGAAAAACAAACTAGGGGTCAATTAAATTCCATTAAATTATGATGCTTCTCAGTGATGGAATTTGTCAGGTATTCTGTAATTCTAAGAAGACTTCTCTAAAAGTCTACTTCTTTGCAATATTTTAACTCCACACACCTGTCAGTGTAATTTTTAATCTGAGGCAATAAAAACACCTAATCTGTTCATTTTTCCACTCTCGCAACCATATGAATTTAGTTAGCAGGATTCCCTTGCATTTTGAAGGTGCTTAGTTTGTTTTTCAGGCTCAGTTTCTCGCGTTTTCCTGTCACTGTCAGGTGTCACTGGTTTCACTTTCTCCTGCTGCTGGTGACTGTCAGGCAGCAGAGAGCAGACGTCACTGTCAGGACTCAGTGATGTCCTCTGCTGCCAGCTCGCTGTGTCACCTGCAAGAATTTGGAAGTGCTCCGTGACACTGTCAAGTGACAGAATTTCCTAACTCTTCAAACAGAAGGTGTCGACAATGACAGCATCAGCTACTAGAAGTCAAGTCTGATGCTGTCTGCCAATTTCAAGTCAACTGGTTCTTACACCTGTTTTTCCCTTTTTTTCATAGCTTTTTCTCTTGTGTAATTTTCACGCTTTCTCCTGGAGGAGCAGTGTCTACCTGTTCCTGACTACCTAAGTGATCATGTCTGTGATGGCCAAACACTCTGTGATGCCAGCTGCTGTGAGGATGATGCCTCTCAGTTTCAGAGGAAGTTTGGCCATTCTCATTTTTGGGACGATGACTGCCGTGGCGGTGGTGGTGGCGGTGGTGGTGCCCATGTCTGTGCAGGTTGTGGTGATGTGGGTGTTGACTGGTTGGTTTGGGTTCTCTCTCTTCTAGCTTATCAGCTTTTCTGGTGATGTTTTCACATACATCATCAATGTCAGGTTCCTGAAAAACAGAGGCTTACATTAAATACAAGGCAGAGTATTTAACTAGTTGTAAAATATTGATTATCTTAACATTTTTGCAGAACCTGAAATCCAGTTTTAAATTATTTGTGCCACCTTGTTGAAGAATGTATGAATGTATAAAAAATAACCTTTCATTGAAACACCACCAGGGCTTTTAATACAAGCTTTTAGCAATTATAGTTCCAGTAATTGCTAACAAGAAGTATTTTTTTCCTAGATCCCACATCTGACCTGCCTGTGGCCTACATTTAGATGGAAAACTGCATTATGGGATCAAAAATTATTATTCTTAGTGAACTTTCATGACTATGTATGTACATTTCTTGATAATTTTTAGAGTAGTTCTGATCTTTAATTATACATAAAACAAAGCTACCCTTCTTTTATAGCGGTAACAATAATTTGTCATCTTGTATTATCACTTTTTAAAATTACTATGTTTAAATGCAAACTAAAATGAATATTACCTCAAACCAGCTTGGATTTGATTCCCAGGTTTAAAAAAAATACCATCCGTTTATGTCCTTACCCATCCCCCAAAACTAGAGTAGCTAATTGCTCACTAGCTGTATATAAATCCACAAACAGAATTAGCCTCCAAGATTACATTTAGGTTTCTGACAATTATTTCTATCACAGGCAAGTATTCTGATAATCAGTCTATTATAAATTAGATCTAATTAATTTGGAAAAATATTTAAAACCTCTCTGTCAAGACACATGAAATGTGTAAATTCTAAATCATGTTTTTGTGGATTAATCACACTGAAATAATTTTTTTTAAGTACTAGTCAGATCCAGTTTCCTGTCCTAGTATACACAGATGAGACAAGAAAATACCGTGTAAGAGCAGTTTCCACACTTGTTTCCACAGTATGCAATCTTAACAGCTTCTTCTACATATTGGAAATGCAGGAAGGAATAGGGCAGTCCCAGATGATACACCAGACGGCCACATCTAAGGAGAGAAGGAACTTTGTGGTTACATGTACCTGAAATTAAATCTCTCTTCTCATCACGTCTCACTTTATTCGCATCAATCCACCCAAACTGTATAGTCCCATGGACAGTGTTCCTGTTCAAGGAGTTTACAATGGTTGCCTGCTCAACTGCATCAGCCAGCAGCGTAAAGAGAGATTTCTAGCTGTACTGGCAGAAGCTTCTGTGTTAGGAGCCCTTAGACTAGCAAAGGTACACTCATTACAGGTTATCTGGCTAATGAATAGGGCTGCTTGCACAGCAGTTTTTGCATCCTTACAACAAGTTTTTAAGCAACCTCACATGTATTTTGATTGGAAAGTGTATTGCGGTGCATCTCCATTACAGGTTTACTGTACATAAGGGGATTTTTATGCTGCCTATTCGCTCCAAGTCTCTACTTGAGTGTTCTGATATGCACTTGACTACGCTACTGGTCAGTTTGAAGGAGCTGACTAAATACAGAACCTGTACACAAGGGCCTCTTATTTAATACCCACCTATGTGTGGGCCTCTAGCCTTAGCTCCTTACATGTCTGCAGTGCATGTCCGTCAACAGGTAAACCCACTTGGAATGCTCATTACAGTAACATAACTTGGATAGATTTCAGTTGCAGTTACTACTGGCTCTGCCAAAATATACAAGTGCCAGAATCCTGTATCAAAAAGTTATTTTCTGATGAAGTTTTAAGTTTCAACGGAAGACTAATTTTTCCATATGTCTACATTTTCAACAACTCTGGTCAAAACGTTTCCACTAGAACTTGGATAGCTTTCCTCTTTGATTCTACTTTGACATGCATGGGTGTAATGAAGTTGTCTGAAAATAAAAATAGTGTAAAACAAGAAAAAAGTTATCAAATTCTACACTCAGTTACATTAATCTAAATATACAGTAATTATAAAGAAAAAATTATTTATTCCAAAATTACTTATGCAAAAGCAGACTTTTTTTTTCCAGTAAACTTCAGCTAAGAAGTTGATAACGATGTCTTTGTTATTTGCACATAAATGAAATAATACAGATTTACAAAGCATTACTCTAAATATATACAAATATTTTCCTGTGTTTCTCTGTAAACACACACCTGTCATAGATGAGAAAGTCATCCTTGTTTCCATTTAAGGTAGTCCAGACATCATCCTGTTGTTCTTCTTGCTGGTAGACAGTAATATAGTCTGAAACACTTCCTTTCAGTAGGTGAAATTTCCTCCGGGACTGAGCTCCCTGATGGTTGACAACCACATACGAGATGTTGACCAGTCCTTCATTCTCTAACTTTACTCGCAGGTCCTCCAATCTAGTGGGAATGTAGAGAAGCAAGACCATAAATCATTAGAGAATCATAAGATTTGCCACAAAAGTGAATATGCTCCATCTTGCTTTTATTACAGTGGAAGTTATTTTATCCCAGTTTTAATGGCAACAGTCTAACACTATTAAAACATTCTCGCCATTTTCCATGACTATCAACTATACTGTCACTAAACCAGACTTTGCAACAGCTCATATGCCATGAGTCCTGTCCTTGTAAGTAGAATGCAGTAAATCAGACATCTGTTTTCAGACTGAATTCAGTGTTACTTTTATGTCAGCTCTTTCATAGTCTCCATGGTCCAACACAGTTTATTTGATGCCTTTATTCGAATGCTGAGGTTTTGATCATACAGTTGGTTAAAGAACGCACACCATAAATACAGCAGAAAAACGAAATATCAAGAAAGCGAACCTGCAGTAAAAAGTCGACAGCTCTCCCACTCATCTTGACATAGCTATTTTCTGTAACAGCCAGAAAAGGGCTATTACAGCAGCGGGGGCAAAATCAGTGCTATAGAAATGCTGCACAACCTGTCTGGCAGCTGTTAGTCTTTCCTCTGGCTTTTCATCACAAAAGTCTATCTCTGATAATAGTTCAGAAAGCCGATTCCTTGCTTGATGTGGGGTTTCTTCCTTTTGGTTTGTATCCTTCCTATTGATCTGCTCTAGAAAACTTTTATTTTTCAGTTGCAGGAAATAATCTAGAATGTGGAAAATTCTTTTAAATTTTTCTGAAATGTGAGAATCAAACCTAAATACCTTGAAAGCCAACTGCAAAGCCCACTTTTGACTTTGATGGAGCTAGAGATTTACCAGTACTTTTTCAAATCCAATTCTTAGTAAACTTGCAAAGCCTATTGTACTATGAAGTTATGCAGCCAAGAGGGGCAAACTAAGATGTCCTTACTGTGACTAAAATCCAAGTCTGAAACCAGTATTATTAATTCTTACACCAAACTGATTTCATGATCACTGAATGAATCCAAGATAAAGGCTTTATACAATTCCTGTTTGGGTCACCTCATAATTATTTTCTCGCTACTGTTACTGTCATGATAGCTAATTATTTGCAAAGAGTGGGTTCTAGAAATCACAGCCCCAATGTCCCAGTCCTGTAAGAAAACACAGCACAGTTGACTTCTTTGAATGTTTCATCTCATTTTTGAAAGGCCAGTCTTTACCTTATCTTCTGGATTTTTATATATCATAGAATAATAGAATCAGCTGGGTTGGAAAGGACCCCCAAGATCATCAAGTCCAACCCTTGATACAACACCACTGTGGTTACTAGACCATGGCACTAAGTACCACATCCAGTCGCATCTTAAAAACCTCCAGGGACGGAGAATCCACCACTTCCTGGGCAGCCCATTCCAATGCCTGATTACCCTCTCTGTAAAGAAATTCTTTCTAATATCTAACCTAAACCTCCCCTGGCAGAGCTTGTCCTACAGCTGGTTGCCTGGGAGAAGAGACCAACCCCCACCTGGCTACAACCTCCTTTCAGGCAGTTGTAGAGAGTGATGAGGTCTCCTCTGAGCCTCCTCTTTTCCAGGCTGAACAGCCCCAGCTCCCTCAGCCTCTCCTCACAGGACTTGTGCTCAAGTCCCTTCACCAGCCTTGTTGCT